AGTAGTGTAGCTCGAGAGAGTCTCTCGGGAGACTGGATTAGCCACACGTTGTGGTGAACCAGTATAAATCTTGGTGTGCTCCCTTTACGCTTTCTACGCTCTTTACTTTTCACGTTCTTAATTTTTTATTCCTGCGATTTCTACGATCAAACGCTATTCACCCCCCCTCTAGCGTTGGTCACTTATTCTAACAGCCTATGGAGGAGGTAGTGTTGGCCTTCAAGGAGCTGTTGCTTCAACAGTCTTTACTAATGGTGGTCTCGTTAGAGGTTTCATTCCTGGGTACTTAGCAACACGACGGGTCTATGGACCTACGTACGGTGTAGAGCACACAGTTTCCAGTAATTACTACAAATATTTTGAGATGAATCATGTCGTGGAAGCTTTCATTATTCTTCCCGGAGGAGTTGGCACCATAGAAGGTTTGTTCACCTTGATCTCGTGGGCTTCTGAAGGGTTACACAATAGACCCATTGGTCTTTTAAACATTGACGGTTATTTCAATAACCTTCTCAAATTCTTAGATGATGCGGTGAGGCAGAACTTCATGGCTTCCAGTCAGAGGAAACTTTTTATTTCTTCTTTCTCTGTTGACGAGCTTTTAGACAAACTAGAGTTTGCTAAAGCTTTCCCGGGACATGGGGTTAGTTATGATGAGTTTGTGAATCCTGGGAGATTAGACTTAGAATTGCATTTGTAACATTCCTCATATGATCCAAGTTGTATGTTGAAATGATATTTTCCATAAATTATTCTAGGCTGTATGACCAGTGCGAGCTATATTTTCTTCATTCTTCAGTCTTTCACTGTTGGTGTCACTGTTTCACATCTTGTTTTGTATTGTTCCACATCGCGATCTTTCACGCTAATAGCGTATACGAACGAGTCAATTTTCTTAACTATTTGCCTTGTCAGCATCACTTTATTTCACTAATGTTTTCGACGATAAGCAATTAAGTTATTATAACAAGGTCGAGTTGTTTATAGCTTCTAACAAACGGGTTCCTTGAATTTGATCGAACAAGTCGTCAGTTCATTGTAAAGGTCAGCGATTCTTGGTCGTCAGTTTGTTCAAGTTTCTTGACAGGGATTTGTGGGTATCTTGACCGTAAGTCAATCTTAGAGAATACAATGGATTCTCTAAGCTGATCAAATAAGTCATGATACGAGGTAAAGGATAACGAATTGTTCAATTGACAGTAGTTGATATAAAGTCTCAATGATTCGCGTATGAACAAAACAGGTATTCTACCAAGGAGGAAACACTTGATCACGTGATTCTTTGTCAGGAAGTCATTGATGGAAACACGTTTAATACAGAGTTATGAATATTGGTCCTTTCTAGGATCAAGATTGATAGAGAATTCAATTTCTCGGAACGGTGAAATATTAGGAAGTTCATATCAGAGAGGTAACATACTTTCGATACGTTACTTCAGTTCAGATGTTTCTTTCCGCGTAGACTTCACACTTCTTCTATTTGAGATGTTTTCGTATATATATTTTCGAGATGAATTCGGTTGGTTTAGATATCAGATTTTCTTTCACCTCTATGAGTTTACCATCATCGGTCTTTAGTTGAGGAATTCTTCATCACAAGTTGTTAACAGCAACGGCGTTCAGTCAGTCAATTCATACTAAGGATAATGTTAATTTCCTTGTATGGTATTTCAACGATGTTTTACAAGGAATTATCGCTTAACGAACGATTTCGATTTATGTGATATAACCATATATTTGCGTCGTAATGAATTAGAAATCAGAATGGAATACTTCAGATAACAGAGTTTATTAATTCTAAACGTTCGTGTTTGAATCAGCGATCAGATCGTCTTGAGTCAGGATCTTTGAACTCAGCTTCTCAGATGTTGTTCGTAAAATCAATATTAATCGATTCTTCAAAGTCGTCTTACTTCTACGAGGCGTTCCGGTATAGATCAATTTTGCCATTCGCGATGCGATGCGTACGCTAATAACGTATCAGAAGGTTATACACATTTCGTTTACTCTTTCGTCTCTTCACCGAGTACGAAGGATTGACTTGAGTCTAGCTCGATGTAGTTTTTTTTTGTACTAACAATTATTATCTAATGAGAATTTTAACAAAATCAACATTTACTAAGTAAATTCTCATACTTTTTTCCTGGAGCAGAGGGATGCGAGAGTCGTGGATGTGATTGACATTTTATTTTATTATTATTTTTTTTAAAATCAAATTTCGATCCGAAGATCAGGTTTAAAACCATTTGCTCCGATACCAAACTGTAACACCCTAATCTATCCAGGTCTGCAGCCCCTTTCAGATTAAAGTATTAACTTGGTAATCGTAAAAATTTAAAACATTTCAAACACTTTTATTTATCACAATAATATTTTTCATAATATAAACAGTACGGAGTTTTCCATATTGCGGAAGCTTAACAATCATAATCACAAACATAATTTATTTATGTTCTTTAATTCAAAACCATCACATCCATTCCGACAATCTCGCCTCCGTCTGCCTCCAGGATCACGTCACTTCATTAACCTGCGTGTAGCAAATAAAACATACTACACGCTCAGCGTTGA